CCACACCCTCTCCAGCAACTGTTATTTTTTGAGTTATTGATAATTGCCATTCTGACTGGAGTTAGGCGGTATCTCAGTGTGGTTTTGATTTGCATCTCCCTGATGATCAGTGAGGTTGAACATTTCTTCATGTGTCTATTGGCTGCTCAGATGTCTTCCTTTGAGAAGTGTCTGTCTGATGTCACATTACCAGACTTCAAACTTTACTATAAAGCTACAATAATCAAAATAACTTGGTATTGGTACAGAAACAGGCATATAGACCAATGGAATAGAATTGAGATTCCAGAAGCAAAACCTCCATTTCTCGACCAACTCATCTTCGACAAAGCCTCTACCACCTACCACTGGGGAGAGAACCTATTCAGTAAATGGTGCTGGGAAAACTGGCTGACCACATACAGAAGATTGAAACAGGATCCCTATCTATCCCCATATACAAAAATTAACTCTAAATGGATCAGAGACCTAAATGTAAAACCTCAAACCATAAGAACCTTAGAAAATGAAGGACATACCCTCATGGAAATTGGAACTGGCATCCAATTCCTGAGCAAAACCTGAAACCCACAGGGCATAAGAGAGAAGATAGACAAGTGGGATCTCATTAAACTGACAAGCTTCTGCAAAGCCAAAGAAACCATCAAGAGAGCAGGGAGACAGCCTACAGACTGGGAAAAAGTATTTGTCAACTCCAGGTCTGACAAAGGCTTAACATCTTGCATCTACAAGGAACTCAAACATGCTGAAAAGAAAAAAACAAACAACCCCATTATAAAATGGGCAAAAGATATGAACAGACACTTCTAAATTTCTAAGAGAATCTCTTGATGTTAGTGTAGAACCTGCCTCAGGGGTATGCCACCCAGGGGAGAGCTTCTGGAGCATTTACCTACTAACTGCTCCAGATGAGATGCTGGGAGTTGCTTCCAGGTGTATTAACTCCACAACTTTTCTGGCTTACCCAGTGGATAGGTGGGGTAACAAGTGTCTGCAGTTAGTATAAAAAGTAGAATGGCAGTGTATATAAAGGGGAGTGGGAATGAACAAAACACTGACAACATTGCTACCCAGCAAGAACAGGTTCAAAAGATAAGGGGTCAGGAAAGACTGCTCTGCAGAGATATTGTTCTAGCCAAGCTCCAAAGGTTGAAAAGGAGCTTGCCAGGAAAATCACATCTCTAGGCAGAAAGAACCGCAAGGACAGTGGATCTGGGTACCACTAAGGTTTGTTTATAAAATAGAAACAATAAAGAATCACAGAACTTCAGAGGCAGGGTGGGAGACTGTATCTTTGAATTACAACGTCCATTATTTCAGATGACAAAACTAGAGTAAGCTAATGAGAAATTCAGTGACATGGACAGTGTCCTAGGATCTTGAGAAAGAGGTGGGACCAGCCCTTGGCTCCCTTGGCTGCCAGCCAGGAGTTCTCCATCCCTTGTAATGCTTTCCCTACTCATTCTCCCATTTTGCTCGCTGGGATTTGGCTGCTTCCCCAAGCTATGGGACTGAAACGGACTGGATGTGCTGACCTCTGCCCTGTTTCCTGCAGCAGGCCCCCAGTTATACCTAAAAGGAAATCCATGGTTAGCACAAGACTGTGTGAGCCAGACTTGGACAGCCATGATGACCTTGTTTTCCACCCTCTGTCCTCTACCTATGCTCTAATCACACTGGTCTCCTTACTGTTTCTAGAACATGCCAAGTATTCTCCCACCTCTAGGCCTGTGTTCAGAATGCTCTTCCCCAAATATTCCCACAGCTCACTCACAAGGCATCACTTCACACAGGTCCCTATGCCAAAACCACCTCCTCAAGAAGACTTATCCTCATCATCCTTTCAAAGCATGACATTGTCCCCTACCCCATCCTCTTAGCCACTTCATCTTCCTTAGTGGACTCTTTACTGCCACAGGGTCTGCCATATTAGATTATACTATGCTATACTACATATTTACTTGTTTATTTGTTGTCTATCTTCTCCACTAAAATGCAAGCTCCATGAGGGAAGGGATTTGTGTTATTCACATTAGAATAGTACACTGTAGCTTCTCAAAAATGTTTGTTGTATGATGAGTGAGTCAGTGAATGAGTGATCTAGTAAACAAATTGCCTAATGGAAGACCTTAGTTCTGGTCCTCCTCTGCCACTAACTCCATAAATGGCTTTGTGCAGGTTGATACTTTCACTCTGTCTTGGTTTCTTTACCTGAAAAATAGACATATAATTTTTACCTTATAAAGGGATAAAGTGAAATTAGGCCATAGATATGAAAGTACTATACATTATTGGAATATGTTATACAAATATAAGATTTCCTTTTTAGATTGAAGGCTGCTTAAGTTTGAGTGAACTTTACCAAATGAGGTGAAGAGTTTTATTACTATAAAGAATCCTTCGTGGATGTTGGAGTTGATCAGGCCTCATCCAGTAGAGAAGACCTAGTCTGTTGTATGGGAAAGCATTCAGGGTGAAAGGTGAAGACCCAGATCAGAATCCAACCTGTTCCACAGACTTGCTGGTGACCTTGGGGAACTCATAGGAGCTTACCACAATGAACTCCAGATTTCTTTTTTCTCAAAATGGTGGAGGGTGGGGATGGCAGATGAGACAACTTTCTCCTTAGTGGTTTCTATTTTGTCCCACCAATCTGTATCACCATAATAATTCCAGCCACCATTTGCTGATCACTCAGTCTGCACCATGCACTTGACATTGCATCTTCCCCCAGCCTTCTGTCCTCCACTATTTAGATGAGAAAACTGTCAGGTGCCTTAGTCCCTGACAGTGTAACTAGTGGCTTGTGAGTTGCAGAGTCAGCACTCCAGCCAGGCATGCTGACATCTGAGTCATGCTAACCATGTGTACAAACTGATAACCAAATTCAGAAGAAAGAGAGGCACAACTGTGTCTTCGTTAAGTCAGTTCCACATGGTGGAGCAGGATGAAAAGTCCTGTGATTCTGTTCAGGGTTGTGTCTATTTAACCAGGCAGCATGTTCTGACTTCTCCCTTCTCCTCCCTCCACAGGGCTTCATGGACATTGACTTAAACAAATTTAAGGAGAGTGGAGCAAACGTGACAGGTTTTCAGTTGGTGAACTACACAGACACCATCCCGGCCAAGATCATGCAGCAGTGGAAGAATAGTGATGCTCGAGATCATACCCGGGTGGACTGGAAGCGGCCCAAGGTGAGGGAGGGTGACTCTACTAGGTTTTTTCAAAAGCATTTCTAAGGCAAGGATTCAAGTACATGTGGCTTCTTGGGTGTCAGTCCTAGAAAACACCAACAGGAAAGCAGGAAAGTGAGGCTGAGAAGGAAGGGCAGCCTGGTCCCTTTACCTGCCCCAGATTTCTAAGCAACGTTAGGTTTTAGAAAGGAAAAAGTTTTCTAAAAGGAACAAGCTAAGGGAAATACATTCATAAATATTACTGGGTGCAAAGCACTAGGGTCAGCCAACCCAAATAGATGGTAATTTTTAACAAGATTGACGTTTTATTTTTCTCTCACATAAACAAAATTTAGAACTCAACAGTCCAGGGCTTGTGTAATGGCTCCACAGTAATCAAATAGCCAGGCTTCTTTTAGTTTCCTGTTCTGCTATCCTCAGCATGTGGCTGCAATCTTAAGTCCAAGATGGCCGCCTAAATGACCACCATAGCCACAGCAGTCTACCCAGCAGGAAGGAAAAAAAAAAAGCGAAGCACAGCTGCTTCTTTTAAGAACCCTTTTCAGAAGTTACACAAAAACTTTCCACTCATGCCATTGGCCATATCTTAGAAAACTATCCTCAGTTGCCTTCAGTGGAAGCTGGAATATGATGATTCCATTCTGGGCAAGGCCCCTGTTGCATAGCTCAGGGGGATGCTTGTTTCTTTGTGGATGGAGCTTCCCTGAGTAGTGTAGAGAAGTGGCCCTTATTCTGGTCAACCATGTGTCCAGCTAAAAATCAGGGCAGCCTAACTAAGGAATAGTCATCAGATCTCTGACTCGGAGAGTCAGCTCTCAGTTATCACATGGACTCTCTGCTTCTTGCTTCCCAGAAATGCAGTTCTAAATCCTACAACCAAAATCTAATTTGTTTGCTATTTGAGAATGGTTTAGGATAGGGATAGTAAATAATTTTTCTTTCCCCTATCAAACCAAATAGCCAGACAGTGGCCATATGAAACACTGTGTTGAGATGGTTTCTGAGGCCAAGTTTGTTTACATGGGCAAAAAGTAATTCCTTGGCAAACTTTCTCTTGCCAATTGGTCCATTTCTTTTTGTAAATGGCAAACCATATAACTGAGACAATTCTCATCCCACTATGTGCAAACTCATTTAAAGCTTCAAGAATGAAGACTTATTTCAATATGGGCATAAGCAAACGAAAATCACACGTGTGCTTTGATGCAATGAACAAACCACCCAGGATTAATTAATATATGAATATCCTACGCCAATTTCAAAAAGATTTGTGGAGATGACAAAAATAAATGAGTGTAATACAATTTTTAAAAAGAAGGGAGAGAATTGCAGTTAAAAAGCAGAAAAATACGGCCAGACTAGGCGGCTCAGCCTGTAATCACAGCATTTTGGGAGGCCAAGGCGAGTGGATTGCCTGAGAATGTGGTTTCAAGACTAGCCCAGGCAACTTGGTGAGATCTTATCTCTACAATAAATAAAAAATTAGCAGGGCGTGGTAGCACACACCTGTGGTTCCGACTACTTGGATAGCTGAAGCAGAAGAATCGCCTGAGCCTAGCAAGTCGACGCTATGGAGGCCATGAGTGTGCCACTGCATTCCAGCCTGGCTGACAGAGTGAGACTCCAACTCAAAAAAAAAATTAGAAAAATACATTTTTTCTTCAACTCTCTATTGTGAACTTACAGCATTCTAGACAACACAATGAGGATTAGAAACAAAGTAGTGAAGAAAACAGACATGGGTTCCCAAGTCGGGAAATAATTTCTAGAACTACTATCCTGATTTTGTTTCATCCACATCTTAGCCTCCTTTTTGTTAGGAGAGGAAAAACTAATAGTTGTGAGTAAGCAAAGGGGAGAGTTTATAGCGCATAAACTTACCACTCAGGTAAGCTACACAAGGAAATAATTAAGAGCTCACACTTTTTGTTTTCGTCTTTTGCTATCACAAGAGATGTGGAGCAAACAGCTCTTCTTGGCTCCCAGTTGGTAACTGTAAATGCTGGGAAAACTAACTAGTTTCCCACGGACTGTATCAATCTTGCAGATGTGTTCGATTTAATCTATGTATTTTTTTCTGATTGAACCAGCATTTTTTTAATTGCAAGATTGGCTGAATGCAGTGGCTCGCTCCTACAATCCCAGTACTTTGGAAGACTGAGGCTGAAGGATGGCTTGAGACCAACCTGGGCAACGTAGCAGGACCCTGGTCCCTTCAACAATTTTTAAAAACCAGACATGAGTCCTGGCTGTTTGGGAGGTTGAACCAGGAGGATCTTTTGAACCCAGGATTCGAGGCTACAGTAAACCATGATTGTGCTACAGTACTCCAGCCTGGACAACAGAGCGAGCTGCTGTCTTAAAAAAAAAAAAAATTAATTTGAAGATTGTGCACAAAAATCTAGAATTCTGACTTTTCTTTGAAAGTCATACCTGGCAATACCGAACTCACAATTCAGGAGGGCATCATTGGCTAGTGTGGTAAGCAGCAGCCCCCACTCATAAGGAACAGGCTCTCCCCAACCCGGTTCACCACTGTCTCCCACTTTGTACCATGCACCTGGTCCGCTGCACACCTTCTCATCACCAGAAAGCACATTCCCAGATACAGCCTCCAGCCCTGCTTTCCTGTCAGCTCTCTCTGATTCCTAACTGCCTTCCTTCTTCCCACCAGTACACCTCTGCGCTCACCTATGATGGGGTGAAGGTGATGGCTGAGGCTTTCCAGAGCCTGCGGAGGCAGAGGATTGATATCTCCCGCCGGGGGAATGCTGGGGACTGTCTGGCTAACCCGGCTGTGCCCTGGGGTCAAGGGATCGACATCCAGAGAGCTCTGCAGCAGGTAAGGTCAGCAAAGCTTACCCCATCTCATGGGAACCTCCTAGAGGATTTCGGCATCAAATTCAGGTAAAACACAGCTATTTTAAAGAAAAGGAATAGCATGCCTGAAGTTTGAAACAGCTACTGCATTGTGTCTGTGGCTCATGGCATATGTGGAACCTCATGTAAAATTTAAGAATAATACTAATAATATGGAATAGTCATTTCTTGTAGTGTAAAAGCTATATTTTTTGCTTGGCAATAATGCTGAGAAAGAAAAGCTGGTGATTTTCTGTTCTTGGAAAGGATACTAGAAATACGCAGGCTAAAACTGAACCATATTACTCGCTCCTGGAGACCCATCCCTGCTGCCTCCATTTTCTGGATTTCTTTATTACCTTTGCTTTCTGTGCACATTTCCTGAGGGCCTACTCTGTACAGACCCTAAACATGTTTCTCATTTCTTCTGATGCTACCTTCCTGCTTCTCAGCATTGCAATCCTCAGTTTTGCTTGCACTTAAGAACAGTTCAAGGACAGGGATGGAAGGTGGCCAGGCCACGCCAATCAATGGGCTATGCAAAGGTTCTGAGGTTGAACAGATACAACAGGGAGAGGTATTAATATTCAATTAGTAATATGTCTGCTCTGGAAGCAGGATGAGACTGTGGTATACGTGGGCGGATATTTAACATCCCCGGTTTAGAAGATTCTGGAGACTTGCTTTTAGCTTTATCACTCTTGGAGCTCCTAGAGGTTTCTAGAAGTCTTCGAAAGCACATCAAGCCCAGGCTGTGATTCTCAAACTGCTAATGCATAGTGCCTTATTTTGCTTCTGATGCCTCCTGATAGAGAATCTGTGTTCCCAAAGGGCATGGGGGAGAACATTAAGTACTTGGTGCAAAAGAAAGGCAAAGCACCAGCAAGCCAACAACAACAAGATGATTTGGAGCAAATACCTTTCAGAACCCACCATCCCTAACCAATGGAGTGGCCTGCGTAAGGCCAGCTCTACTTTTAAGACTGCATTCAGCAAAAGATGAATCTGGGCTCCCCGGGGAGCAGAGGAGTGTTTCTGAATGAAGGAGGAATGTAGAGCAAAATGTACAACTCTTCCCGTTTGTTTGCCAGCCACATGTGCACAGCTCTAGCAGTTTTCACAACCTGGAAAAAAAGACGAGAAGGAAACCTCACCAGCTGTTTCTCAACCCTGACAAGATGCCTCCACTCAGGGGACGATACGGAAGTCTGCCCTTTGGAATGAAGCTAAGCAAGAGCCCTGCTCACTACAGGAGACTCGTGCCAAGGGGGACATCCAGCAGCCATTTCTGCCCTCTCCAGTACCTGAGCAGGGTGGCCCTCGAGGCACTAGGCAGCAACAGCAGACACCAGGCAGCTTGCAGGGATTAACTGCCAAAGGGACAGCACCTGCCCCCCGAGCTTATTTAAAATGCTCTTCCAGACTCCACCGTCCAGACAGATTGTTTGCAATGTGAGACTGGTTTCAGAAGGTGCCAGGGACTTGCCCTCGGCTTCACAGCCCTCCCAACTCCCTTGCCTCTCCCATCTTAATGATGTCCCTGAAAGAATATTCTGATGCCACCATATCAGTGTTGAAGCCAGGGAAGAAGGCGGATGGCAGGAAGGCTGGGCACAGAGGCCAGCCTGGCCCCTGGCTCTCTGAGTGACCTTGAAATATTCATTCAGTTCTCCTGCAGATGTCTCTTTCCTTATCCATAAAAACGAAGAGGCTAGAGAGACCCTGAGACTTAGCTGGCTTGAAGAATTCAAAGAGACTAATTTTCTTCCTCCCTTATGGTCTAACCCACGTCCTTCTGGTTATCATGTATATTCATTCCTCCACCTCTGCCCTCAGTAGAGTTTGAGAGGAAGCGGTTGCCATCGTCAAAAGAATAATGACCTCTTTTATTTTGTCTTGGAGCCTAGACATGGGTTTGCTTGCCTTTCATCATCTGTTGACTGAGGGCCTGTGGCATGCTGCTCTAGTCTGGGATCAAGCACTGGCCTGCCCTCAAGAAACTCCCTGCAGCGAAAAAGAAAAACTAGCCCTCAAAAACAAAATAAAAAAACAAACAATGCAGAACATCCCAACCCTAAGATCAGAGGTTAAACTGACTCCTTTTCAAATCTTTGGTAAGCACTTAGAATCAAGAGTTTTGGCTGAAAGAGACCTTAGAGGTAGATGACTGGTTCTCATGTTTCTTTACTTTTTAAATGAGACAGCAGATCCAGAGTGGGCAGTGACCCATCCAGGGTCACACAGCAGCTGAGCAGTAGAGGCTGAACCAGATGCCAACACAGGACTCCTCCTCCTGCCCCAGGCCAGCCTGTCCTGTGACCCCAGAGGCTTTGCTTATAAGCATTAACCTCTGGGGCTTTCCTCAGAGTCATGGCCTCTGTCAGCTCTTTCACCTTCTAGATCCATCTCTTGAAACAGCCACACCCCCCAGCAAGCAAACAGTCACACACCCCCAGCTGAGTAAATCTTGATGCCATCCAGCCCTTGGAGCCCAGAGTGTGGAGGCTCAGATTTCTGCTGCCCTGCCTGCTGGTATTATAAGCATTAGTCACCATGCCTGGCTGAGTTAAATTCTAGAAATAATGGTAATGATAGGTGTGATATGTTAAGGGTTCACTATGCACAAGGCCCTGAACATTCACATATATCTCTCATTGAATCCTCGCTATAACACTCTGAGGCAACTAGTTTTATTAAGTGTGCTTTGGAAATGGGGAAACAAGCTTCACAGAGGTTATAGAACTGCCCCCAAATTATACAGCCAGCTGGTGGTAAAACTGGGACTCAAACCCACATTTAGATGACAGCTTGCTGTGTAAGCTTCACTGCTTTGAAGCCTCGAGGGCCCAGTCAGGCAGGGGAGACACAACAGCTATGGCCCAGCCCTCAGCAGTGCGTGGCCTTGGATAATATCCATGCACCCCAGCCTTTCCCCACTCCATAGGTTCCCCAGCAGCAGAAGGAAGACAGTCAGCCTGCCTGCCTGGCCCCTGTCTGCCATCCAGGGAGCTGGTCAGAATATTAATGCGCTCACATCCTGGAGCCCCTCTGTGCTCCAGGAACAGGCAACATGAGGGTGACCATATGTCGCCTTCTGGGTGCAGAGAAGACCCACATCTCCAAGTCAGGTTCTTAACATTGGGGAGGTCACAGGCATTTGAGGATATGATTTGTTTTAATCTGTAGACTCTTCTGTACATATAAATATATTTCTGCATGATCAGGAGTGAAGGAAATGTAGACATTCCTAGAGCCCATCCCAAAACCTCAAATGTAGAAGATTTTTGCCCTAAACAATCATTTAGTCTTTGTTTTTGCAACTAACCAGCCGACAATCAAGTATACAAAAGGGAAGGTGTGCTCAGCACTTTGTTAGGTGGGGTCTGGATAGGGTGACAGTGGGAGTGTAAGACACAGTCCTACATTTCAGGATTCAAGATCCAGTTTCAAAGGGAAATATCCAGTTTCTACAGGAAATAGTGCTAGAAAACTGTAGATTGCGCGTCAACTAGCATAGGCGGCCAAGCTGGCACAGGTGGGTTCCTGGTGCTGTGGACAATCAGAGCAAAAGACCATCGCGAAGGAGTGTGGGCATCCACAAGTCTTCCTGCAGTAGTGTGCTGCACCTTCCAATAATGTAACCACTTTATTGTCCAAAATTTATCATCCAAACTAGGACACTTTAGAATAGATAGGAGAGCTATTATCAATTATTCTAGAATAAGAGCTGTAGATGGAAATTGTCCTAAACAAACTGAAATGTATGGTCACGCAAGCCTCAAGGGAAAGGCATTGTTGTTGTTGTTGTTGTTGTTATGGAGACAGAGTCTTGCTCTGTCACCCAGGCTGGAGTACAGTATGATCATAGCTCACTGCAGCCTCTACTTCCAGGGCTCAAGTGGTCCTCTTGCCTCATCTTTCAAAGTAGCTGAGACTACAGGCATGCACTACCACACCCAGCTAGTTTTTAAAACTTTTTGTAGAGACAGGATCTTGTTTTGTTGCCTAGTCTGGTCTTGACTTCCCAGATTCAAGAGATCCTCCCACCTCAGGCTCCCAAAGTACTGAGATTACAGGTGTGAGCTGCCATGCCCAGCCAGGAAGGGTACATTTGAACAAGAATTAAATCGAATTTTGGAGGTTCTGGATAACACTCAGCAGTAGACTAGATAGAAGGGGGTATAAGTGAGAACTTGTAGGCCTCACAGTGGTCTGTTAGAGGGCTTGGGAGAAAAGAGCTGGGTTCTAACGGTGGCTCCACCAAGCACAATCTGGGGGATCTTGTACTAATTGCTTGACTTTTCTAGACCTAGATTTTATCTGCTAAATAAACAATCCTCTTAGCACTGCCTCCCTCACTGCTTTGTCACAAGGCTCAAAATTTTAAGAAAGCATCAAGTATATGCTTGTTTGAACTTCAGGGCAACTGCTCGAGAGAGTTAGAGCCAAGATTATTCTTCCTAGGATTCAGGTAGGGAAGTGACAGTTCAGACAAGTCCTGAGATTTGCCCTGGCTATAATAACTGGGATGTGGCCACAGGAACATGGCCCACAGTCTTCATGACAAGTAAACTTTCAGGAGGAAGGATCTACCTGAGGCAGGCAGCTGCAAATGGCTGCTTCAGAAGGCTCAATTGTCACCCCAGAGCTACCTTTCGGGATCCAGTGAGGGTGCAGGAGAAGAGTTCATGTTGACAACTGGTAAAGATTCCTTATTTGACCAAACTTCAGTTAGGCTCCTGGACCTGCTCCTAGGCCTATATGTGCACTTCTCATAAAATCCAGTTTTAGCAAGAACCCTGCTAAGTCAACTTAGTAAGGCCCTCCTACCCACAGTTGGGTTCATCATCTTCCACCAACCCCCAGGTGATGTCTGATCACCCTGGTGTTGTCTGTCTTCAGCAAGAATCCTGTTTGGTCAGTTTAGCCAGAATCTGCCTTACCCCCAGTGTTTCCTCTTAGTATATTTCCATCCACTGACTACCTCTCTGCTTCTTAGTAATGAACACCCACTAGCCCATGCTGAGCCCAGACTCCCTTCCCTCTTGCAAGACCCCTTGCAGTAGTCCTCAATAAAGTCTTCCTTACTGTGTTTTAACAAATGTAATTGAATAATTTTTTCTTTACCATGGCTCAAGTAGTAGAGACATTAACCAGCACTCTCCTGGCATCAGTCAGGAAAGAAAATGTATGCTGCAGCCTCCCACCAGTGACAGACAGACTCTGAGCTGGCACCCAATACCGTTTACAGGAAACCCAAGGTTAATTCTCCATCTTTCATGAAGGGAGTTGGCGGGCGCCAGGGTGGCGACAGGATTTCCGGGAGCAGGAACCAAGGAGAGATGCCTGGGCGCCGCCAGTCTGACCTCAGTCACCCTGGGGTGGGGGAAAAAGGGGATGAGAGCCCAGAGCTCAGACCTGATGGATGGGACAGCAATTTCAAGACACGTTTCTGAGAAGCTTCTTCTTCTGACTCTGAGTCCTGACTCTCTACAATAAATGGTTTGGGGCTGAGCCATTCTCTCGACCTTTCCTTGCTCTGCCATCATGAAATGGTGGTTATGGGATGTCTCCTTTTCTATTCTTCAATACTTTGATTTATCTCAGTGTGTGTAAGACGTGGCTTCCCCAACTAGACAGTAAGAGCCTTCTGCTACCCCAGTCCTCTGAATGACTTACTGTGAATGCAGGAGTCAAGTACCATCAGCCCTGAGTCTCAATCTCATCTGTAAAATGAGCAAAAGAACTTCTGCTCTGGCTACTCACTGAGTTTCTGTGAACATCACATAAGTAGCTTCTCATGAAATCACTGTGACAATGCAAGAGTCCTCAGGACACTAGGATCCTTAATCTTATTGGAAACTGAGGAAGGCATTTAAAACTGACAGTGACAAGATCTTCATTTCCACTTAAAGAGTCCTCTTCTCTGAAACAACTTACAAGGCCCCAGGCCACAATTTTAGGTCTTTTTTATTTCCGTACCTCTTACCTCTTCTACATATATAGCACAGTAGTAGTAACCATCATCATCGTCGTCATCATCTAAATAATGTAAACTGGCTGGGCACAGTGGCTCATGCCTGTAATCCTAGCATTTTGGGAGGCCAAGGCGAGAGGATTGCCTGAGCCCAGGAGTTCAAGACCAACCTGGGCAACTTGGTGAGACCTCGTCTGTACAATAAATCAAGAAAAATTAGCCGGGCACAGTGGCTCATGCCTGTAGATCCAGCTACTTGGAAGGCAGGTGGAAGGATTGCCTGAGCCCAGCAGTTTAAGGCTACAGTAGCCATGAGAGTGCCACTGCACTCCAGTCTGGGTGACAGAGTGAGACTCCAACTCAAAAAAATAAAAATAAAAAACAAAAATAAATAAATAATGTAAACTATGTGTTGAGCACTTATGTCCCAGACAATAAGCTAAGCATTTTCTTTCTTTGAAGAGGAAACCAAGAAACAAATAGGTTCAGTGACAAACCCATGACCATCTAGTTGGTAAAGAACAGAGCACGACCTTGGAACAGTAGAAGGCAGGTAGAAGACACTACATTGCACATTTTTTGTGTTGTGTTGTCTGCCTAAAACCTAGCACTGTAGCACTGGCCCATTTTTGAGAGGCCTCTTGATATAGCAAGTGAAGATATCAGAAGATATCAGAAACTCTGAATTTTAAACCTGCTTCTACCACTTATTAGTCATAAGGCTTGAGCAGATCAGTTTACCCAGAGTTTTGGCTTCTACCATGTAAATGAAGATCATAAGCTCCAAATGGCATACCTCAGAGGTTCCTGTGAACAGAAATAAAGTGATATGTGTGGGAGTGCTTCATAAACACAAAACATTTAGAAAATGGTGGTAGTATTAGTATCACTGTTAGTAACAATAATAATACCAGCTGGCATTTGTTGAATACTCACCATGGTCCAAACATTGGGAAAAAATATCATATTTAATCCTTAAAACAACCTTAAGACATAATTAACTCTAAATGGTTTCATCAAACAAATGAGAAAACTGAGTCAGAGAGAGAGTATGCAATCTGCCATACTGATGATCAGTGCAATACTTGAGACTGGGGCCAAAAAGTCAAGGCCTATTTGAATCATTAATGACACTTCTTTCTGGTTGGGCAAATCAGTCTGCCATCCCATCATCCGCACATCTACCCCAGTCTGTTTTTCCAAATGAGTCACTTGAACAGGTACCCACCAACCTAGCAACCGATCTTGAACCTAAACCAATGGGAAAGCTAAAACTGGGCAAGAGATCACCAAGGTGAGAGGGAAGTGAAGCTGCTGATAGACTGGAATTGCTCCCTTCTTTTCTCCTTTGTGGGAGGGTCTTTACTTTGTTTTCTCTCTGAAAAGCAAAGACAGCCCAGATGTTCCCAGAGCCAGGGATTTCTCCAGATTCTGTCTGAGAAAATGAAGAGCTTATTGTATAATTTGCTCAGTGCTCTGGGCCCATCATGACCTCCCCACTGAGACATCAAACTAGAAGGTGACAAGAGGGTCAGGCTCCAAACAGAAGCACGCACACGTGCGTGCACACACACATTCTCTCTCTCTCAAATTCATACACACCCCAGCTATTCTTGTGCTTTCGAAAGACAGAGGAGCTAACCACTGTCAGAAAAATAGAAAACTCCGCAAAGCTTCCTTTTAAGTCATTTGAAGGGGGAAAAATAAACAGTGCTGGGTTTGTATTGGTAGCAGGTAGAGACTCACCTCACTGACCTTGTAATAGGGATCTAAAGACACACAGTGGGTCACCATTAGAGAATGTGGTTTCTTGTACCGAACTTATGATACACAGAGACTCAACCTCAGTTTGAGAGTAGAATTGGATGAGATTTCTTGGTCACCTACAGAGCAGCAGGCCCAGCCCTAAAGGTCTTGAATCTCCATGTTGATCATTTGACTTTTAATACAAACTTGAAGATATGAGACCATGAAACTTTGGTTTTACCATTTGAAAAGGAGAGGTCTCTCATATAATGGACCTTGAACATCCAATGCAATACTATGAGAAAATGACTGATGGTACTGGGAAACTATGGGGGGGGAGGGGGATGGGATTAACGGTAGCAAATATCTGTCGGGGGATGGGAAAACACTTCTTATCTACAGGGTGCCTGAATGAAACGTCATTGTACACCTAACCCTTAACTGTACCCCACAAAACCATAATAAAAAATACTGATTAATGAAAAAAAAAAAAAGAAAAGGAGAGGTCTCATGCAGCGTATTTTGGAGCCCTGATACAACTTTATTTCAACCAACAAAGACTTCTTTAAAACCTTGCATGCTCTGGTCTGAACATAAGGGGTTCTCCTCAGGTGCTTTAAAGTTTTCACATCACTTTTACATTAGCGGGTGTCACTTAAAATAGACAGGGCAGGAATTCTGGAAACTGAAGGCTTAGACGAGTAAATCACCCATATCACTGACTGTTAAGGGTGAAGCTGGAGTCAAATTCAACTCTTTAGATTTCTAAGTATTTTATTCCTCAGACTCGCAAGGGAATTAAGAAACCATTTTCTAACGCAGCCCAAGGTATCATAAGACTGACTTCTGATCCTGGGTCCTCATTGGTGACAGCACCTGGTTCCTTTCCGCACCCTCTCACTCTTCATTCTCAGATGTGCATCTCAGAAGGTTGGTGGTCATGGTGGTTGTGTGCTGGGGGGATGTTTGATTAAGGATGGCACAGAGATTTCATATGAAGTGTGTGCTCTGACCCATGGTTAGTAATTTGGCTAAATTAATGGGTGAAGACAATTCTCAGAATGCATCCCAGTTCAAGGGAAATAGGTCTATGCTCTAATGCCGAAACTTGTCATGGGCAAGAGAGTGGAGAATTTTCCCATTCAGGCTACTCCGAGACCTCATCCCATGGAACATCCCTGGATTTCTACTTCAGCAGTAAAAGCAAACGATCATGAAGTGCATCTTCTGAATTCATGGCTCACCATTTGTCGTTGTTTTCCAGGTGCGATTTGAAGGTTTGACAGGAAATGTGCAGTTTAATGAGAAGGGACGCCGGACCAATTACACCCTCCACGTGATTGAAATGAAACATGATGGCATCCGGAAGGTAAGGGCCACCTTTGCTTCCCTTCTGTAGGGAGGAGAGGGCTGAGCAAGGACTCTGGCCAGAGCCAAGGGCCCTGTGGGTTTACCTTTCCTGGACTGGATCTTTGAAGAAACTCAGGCAACATAGATTGTAGACTTGGCTCTGCCACTAGTCAGTTGGGACATTGGGCAGGTCAGGTCCTTTCTCTGAGAATCCATTCACTCATCTGCAAAGTAATGATAAAAGTTCTTACATTTGTCTCAGGGTGTTTGTGAAAATCGGAGGTATAGGAAAGCACTTTGAAAATATAAAGTAATTGATGTATATAACATATCACTGCTATTCCTAAGGAATTCTGAACTAAGAACTTGAGAAAGATGATTGTTAAGGAAGTTAACCATTTTCTCTTCATTTATACTTGGTCACATTACTCTTTATCCATACAGAAATAAGAGGGAAAAATATGTGTGTGTGTGTGTGTGTGTGTGTGTGTATAAAATATGTATTATATATTATACATATATAGTACATATATATAATATGTATAATATATAATATACATGTATAGTAAAATTCTTAGGATAGCATTCAAATGCATGAAATAACATTCAGAATTCTATCAGACCTATGTGTTCTGGCCTATGCCCATTTCTTCAATCTTAACTGCCACCCCCCCGCCGCCTATTTTTTTTTAATCAGAACTCACTCTGTTGCCCAGACTCAAGTGCAGTGATATAATCACAGCTCACCACAGCCTTGACCTTCTAGGCTCAGGCAATACTGCAGTCTCAACCTCCCAAATAGCTGGGACTATACGCATGTTCCACTACGCCTGGCTATTTTAAAAATTTTTTTGTAAAGACAAGGTCTTGCTATGTTGGCCCAGACTGGTCTCAAACTCCTGGGCTCAAGCAGTCCTCCAACCTAGGCCTCCCAAAGTACTGGGATTATAAGTGTGAGCCACCATGCCTGGCCTCCAACTTTAGCCCATAACATTGACTTCCTTCCTCTCTTCACTTCAGTCTTTATGATTTTCTTTCACTTCCTTGAATACACCATGTTCTTTCTCACTGTTCATCTTCACACCTGTTCACTCTGCCTGGGATTCCCTCTACCTCACTCCCTTCTCTTGCCTGGCCAGTCCCTTCTCAGGCTTCAGAACTCAATGTCCTTCCCCAGGAAGCCTTCCTTGACCTCTTTTGGTTATACCCCACAGCAGCCTCTACTTCTCTGCCCATACCTCTCATCACATTTTTAATTCCTTGTGGTTGCATGGCATAGTGACTAAGAGGCTTTGTACAGTGTGGTATGGAGCTGGTAGAGTGCCATGGATCAGAGTGCTAACTCTAGAATCCTCAAAACTGAATCCTGGCTTCAGCACTTACTAGTCTGGGATCTCAGACAACTTATTCGAGTTCTTTGTGCCTTAATTCTTTTATTTAAATGGGGGTCACCACAATCTTGCCAACCTTACAGCGTCGTTGAAAAGATTAAATGATCTAAGAGCACGCAGAAGTTCTAAGTACTAGGCCTGGGACATGGAAAATTGGGTCTTAATCTCTCAAAGTTAATGCTCTCTATGCCCATGCTGTCAAATATACTTGCATCTGGCCACAGAGGCTATTTAAATTTAATTTTAAATTGATTATGATCTAAAAGTCAGTTCCTCATTTGCACTAGCCACATGTCAATCACTCAATAGCCACATTGGCTAATGGCTGTCACGTCAGGTAGCACAAATGTAGAACATTTCTATCAGCGCAGAAAGTTCTACGGCACAAAGTTCTCTACATACACACAATATCCTTAACTCCCTTCAACCCATGTTCTCTGCTGTCTAGTCTGGAACTCCACCTTCTATTTCATAGTCAATTTCACCTCATTCCATTCATCAAGGTTGTGTTAGTTTCTTATTCCTCTTGTAACAAGTTACTGTAAACAGTGGCTTAAAACAACACAAATTTATCATCTTACAATTCTGTAGGACCTAAGTCTGACTTAGTCTCATTAGGTTAAAATCTAAGTGGTGGCAAGGATGTGTTCCTTCCTGGAGGCTCCAGGGGAGAATCTGTTTCCTTGCCGTTTTCAGCTTCTTCTAGAGGCTGAACATATTCCTTGGCTCATGTTATGCTTTCTCCATCTTCAAACCAGCAACATCACATCTTTCTGACCCTTCTTCCATCATTCCATCTTCCCTCTGACCACAGCCCACCAGAGCACATTTCCTATCTCTTACTGGGTATACTTCAGTATTAGCTACCGTAGACCCATGGCCTATCTTAACTTACTGCAGGTACCAAACAAGGGCACCCTATTTGGCTATGAGTGTAGCCCCTGGGAGCATATCCAATTTTCAGCAAACTTTTGGCATGGTGATTATATGAGGAAACTCTCTCTGAGGTCAAAAATCTATTGTGAATGATGCTTATAGTCCAAGTCTGAGATCATTTTTTGTTATCCCGTTGTTCTGATTCCTGCTGCTAGAGAAGACACTTGACTCTCAGTCTCCATATCCATAAAATGGGAACACATCATGCCTGTATTAGCACCTAATCATTGTTCAGTGGATATTACCTGTGTGTGTGGTTGGGTAAATGTCAAAGAAGTAGCACATGACTAAAATCTGGAAAACATGCAGATGGCTTATTTCACAGCATTTATCAGTTGTGGTTAAAGCTGAATAGATCAGAATGACACAATCAGGACATTTCTGATGACTGAGGGGCTGGTAGGGGGTGGGCAGCTGTGGGAATTTTGCTGCCTCTGGAAAGTCATTAGATATAGGACCACCTCCCCGGGCCATCTTTCTTTCAGATTCTGAGAACTGGTGGTGGCACCACCCGTTGCCTTGCAGATGAAAACATAGATGTTGTAGTTTTTTGTTTTGTTTTTCTGTAAGTGCTGGAGCAGCAAGCAGATTGCTTCAGATAGAAAATTATTGACCATGGCCCTGGGTAGTCCTTTAGAATCCTCAGAATGACCTTTTGTCGCTTTTCTCAGGAAAAAACAATTCTTGCTATTTCCTGGATGGAACAAATTGGCATTCCTACATTATATAATAGCAACTATGTGTTTGTCATAATGAAAATATGGATGTTGATCTGTTTTTTTTCCACCTCTCTGGAGTAGTGAATTGGTTTAAAATACATCCAGATTCTTTTCTGCACATCAGTGGTTGTCTGGATATATTGGGAACATAGTGGTGGTGCAACAAGTAAGAATAGAAGCCAGAGACTTCCATCCCAGTCCTGCCATTGCCCAGCTGTGTGGTCTTCAGAATGTCTCATAGCTTCGCTGGGTCTTTAAAATAAGTGAGGGATGTTGGGCTGTGAAATCCCTATCTCCTCTCAGCTCTGACACCTTGGTGTCAATGCCATCAATGCATTTTTACCAGCCTCTCCCCTAATCACATTGTCCCTCTCCTGGCTGGACTTTGACTTCCTCTTTGAAAGTGGTGTTTCCATTGAGGCTTTCATCAATTGACAAACTGTCCTTTGGTGTGACATTCCCTAATGATTACTCCTAGGACCAGGGTTTCAGGCCATTGAGATGACCCTAAACCTTGCCTTTTTATGTTCTCAAGATTAGCTTTTCATCAAGAACTTATTGAAGTAGAGACATTATAACAATGTTAATAGTTCTCCAACTTCAGCAAATAGAAGAATTATCTGAAGCCTTGTTAAAAATGCAGATTCCTGGGCCCCAAACCCTGGATATTCTGCTCCTGGAGACTGGAGATGAGGCCCAAGAATCCGTACATTGTAGTCTTCCTCTCCAACCCGTGGCGTTTCTGGCTGGCGCTCTAAAGAGTTTTGTTAAGAAATACTGGCAAAGAGGTGAAGAGCTTGGTCTTTTGAGGAAGACAGTCCAGAATTTAAGTCTCTGTTTAGTCTTTACTAGGCACATGACCTTGAACAAATTATTTAGCCTCCCTGCACCTCATTACATCATCTCTAAAAGGGTGGTCATACCCCTTTGTCCCCCCAGGACTGCTGTCAGGATTAAACGAGACAACACTGTCACTTCCATTGCCTGTAGTAAGAGATTCAGCACAGCAGATCTTGGCACATAATGAATGTTCAGCGCACATTTGTTTGTACTCATAAAGCCTCTTCTATAGGCCACGGGGATTTTATGTCAGCATTGCATTTGGGTGAGTCAGGATGTGTAAGCCCATGGAATGGATAAATCAGCAAACAGAAATAACAGAGTACCTTGAAATCCACGAGCAAATGGTTGTGCTTTATTTTTCAGATCCCAGGGCTGTTGTTAAACTTACTTTCCAATGACTAAATCCTTTTTTAGAATGTGGGCTTAAACATCCTTTGTTTACAGGAGATCTGACTTTCAGAAAATCAATTCCTCACATCTTGTGGCTTCAGGCTTTTTACTCAATCAGCCTCCTAGCAAATTTCTCAGATTTTCAAGGGTGACCTAGTTGTGCTGGTTTCAGTGAACATGACATGGCCTTACCTGATCCGTATAATAAAAAGTTACCGTTTCTTCCTGATTCAGGGCATTAGAGAAACTCTCCTGATCTTCAGGCCTATACCCTGTCCACTCATGTGCCAATACACCCTCCAAGTGTCTGGATCCAATTTGACATCCCATTGAACTGTGTGTGTTCTAAGCATCCGGCCATCATAAACTTTAGGAGCTTCAGATGCTGGGCTTGGTTCTGGCTCTCATAAAACGGAGTCCTCAGGAAATTCCGTTCAGAGGGATTCACAATGGGGTGCCAATTTAGGAGTCTCTGTCTGAATAAAATATCTTGTCAAACTCGGGATCACAAATTCTTATAAATGGAATAGAGACGTTTAGGGAAAACACATCTTTCTTCAGGGAACTGTCAATTTAACCATCCTTGCCTGTCACCATTGTTCCCATAGCAACTTTTGGACTAGTTGAAGACACCTGCTTCCCATTTCAACTTGGTTTGAGTTCCCCTGCCCTGCCCTGAGTTTGTTATCCCCAGTTCTGAGCCTGTGTATAACTGGAATGGAAAGATGGTGCAGGAAAGA